TAGTAGTAGTAGATTGGGGGCGGCCTCAAAATGGCAATTAGGCAACACCGTCATCCCATCACCTATCCACTGTATGTCTCTGATCCTCCTCGAACCTACCTGATGCCCTGATGAACGCCAGAATTTTGATCCATGCCAGATTCCTCACCTCATCCCCTTGCAACTCTTCTGTATCAAAGACTTTATGCCTTAACCTCTCGAAAGTTGCACATTGTCCCAGAAGATGGATAGGGGTATCCTCCCCTTCTCCACCTTTCGGGCAATTCCTATTAATTTTAAATTCCCTCTAAGTCTGCAATGCCCTGTCAGGACCCCACCATTTGGTTTAAGGCTCTTCGACCAAGGCTCGCCAGCTGTCTTGTGTTAGATTTATTAGGCCCATGTATAAAACCATGAGTCTGCCTCTAAATCCTTTGTTCATCCTCCAGTTTTGACCTAATATTTGATAGGCTCATGTATTAAAGGCCCTGTTAATGCTACCTCGTGTGATTCCGAGGATTGGTTCAGGTCCATGGTCAGGCCCCCTGAATCCAAGGCGAGCCAGTTTACTCTCCAGACCAACTCTACTTCTCTTCGTCTCTCCAGTAACTCCAGGGCATCTCCTCACATTCGAACAAGGACGAACCATGTCCTCGGGGAGCTAAACGCTCCGAACGCGGCCTGACTGTCGGAGCAGTTGTTCCTTACCCCCTCCTTACTTAACCACCATCAAAATAACGAAAACCTCTGCCTGAAAGAATAGGGATCCCGGGGGAACATGCCAGTTTCCTGCTTCCTCTGCTCTCTCGAAGGGAAGGTGGTGGCATACTTCCTTCCTAGCCTCAGCCGGACCTCTGCTTCAATTACCATCGTGGCAGATATTGGGATCTCCCTCCCAGCCTGAAGGCTATGGCAGCGTGAGCCTCCACGCGTCCTTCTGCTTTCCAACCCCCTGCTTTCCCTTATGTATGTCGCCATCGCCTCCCTCACAATTCATCTAGGCAACCCCAGGAGGACCATTTGCATTATTGCAAAGAACATTCATTTCATAAAACTATTCTAGAATAGTTCTCTTTCAAGTATTAGATATAAATATATTAATTGTGTAATGCTTTTACATTTATAGTTATTATTAGTGTCAGATCATTTAGATTTAGACTTATTGCAGATAATTAATTAAAATAATATTCGGCTAGATGGCGTACCTATTATCTGTAAATGATTAGATTACGCAGCTGACGATCATTTGTCGACGTCACGTGTCGTATGTAATTAAATTAAGTAATTATGGCGCAAGAAATATTAGTTAAGTAAAGGAGAAACTAATTCTACTGGCAACTTCATTTGCACAGGAAGAATCAGGCCCGGGTGTAGGGAAGAGGGCTACAGGAGCTATAGCCCTGGGCCTCATAAGATCGGGAGGAGGGGGGTCAAGATCTGGCAAAATCAAACCGCAAAGTGTTTAGGATTTTAATTTTTTTAAATCTATCTTATATCGGTAAGTCGCTGATTGCGTGTTTTTTTTATAAATGTTTGCAGCCTCAGGCCCCACCACAGGTTAATACGGTTCTAGGAGAATTTTAAAACGTATATTTTTAACTCGACATTCAAAAGACTAACTAAATGTTACACAGTTTTTCTTGGTATTATAGTTTATACAGTGTTACAGTTTATTCATTTAATACACATAGTCTTTTCTTCATAGCAATCCTAAAAATACAGTATTTAAACGATTCATATACCACAATGTAATTATTTTTATAAACAGTGGTCGCATCTTAAAAATCATCATAATTGACTGCATCGCCTTTAAGTCTAATTTCAACCATTTTCGAGAACACTTCTGGAGGAGTGTATATTTCTGCGACTACAGGATCATCACGCATAATTTTCCTCCATTTCCGAAGAAATGGTATTTGATCATCTTTCAATGGAAATTGTGTTCCCAGTTTTGTCCGTATATAATCTGACTTTTCTGCCCAGGGCCACAACATATAATCAACCTAGAATAAGAAACTGACTATAGTATGGAAAAATGTTACAGTTTTTTTTATTGTAACATACCATTCCTGGTTTTTCTCCACCAAAAAACGGTGTTCCTCTTCCAGCTAGAGCATCTTCAAAATCTTTCAGTGGGACTAAAAACTCTTTCAACCACTCCTCCGAAGCCTTCTCGTTTTTAGAATAGACACATTGAATAAAAACCTTAGTTACATCTCCAATCTTACTTATTAAATCCTTATGACGTTTTTTCAGTTCAGGGTCCGCGGGATATAGAGGGTTCTCAGGGTATTTCTCATCGAGGTAATCGCTTATGTCAAGACTTTCAACAATAACCTTTGACCCGTCAAGCAGAGTTGGCACTTTTCCTACGTGTGAAAGAAATATTTTAGTAGATGCAAATGGTATGTAGGTGTAAAAATTAATTAGAATGATATATTTTTTACCTTCTGGATGAATTTTAAAGTACCATTCTGGTTTGTTGTTCAAATTTATATTCACGATATCATGAGGAATTCTTTTCGCCTTTAGAACTAACCTGGTCCTTTGGGCGTAGGGACAAAACTTCATGGAATAAAGTCTTAACAAACTCTGGGAGGCTCCTGAGAACCTAAAAAATATTATATACATAATAATACATATACATATATATATAGAAAATCATAATCTGTCATTAATTTATTCATTCTTTACCTTTACTTAAATGGACAGAGGACATTGTATATCGATGGCACTCGGTATTACTTAGACGCGAATTAAATTGCAATTAACGTACCTATTTGTGTTTGTGAGTTTTTGATAACGACAATTCAAAACAAGCAGAGTAGGAAAGATTGTCCGTGAAACTCCGACTTCGTTTATCTTTCTTTTCTAGCTAGTCATGGTCTTTAAATTGATTCAGACCTGTGATTGTGTAGGTATCAATAATTGTTTATTCTGCGATAAAGCGCCGTGACTCGGCATATTTAAAATTGTTAAGTAAATAACTTCTGTATCAAACATTTTTAAAACAATTTAATAATTAATTATTTATCTGATATGAATATTTCGTTATCAGCTTACGAATTTGCATTGTCACGAGCGTCCGCAGACAATTTGCCGAGGGCGGGCACGGGTGCGAGCCATGAAAATTATTCTAAAATAAAAACTAATAAAAAATAACTAAATTTTCTGATTGGATGACCTGTTTGTTAATTACGTACAAAAGCCAGGAGGTGACTAATACATACTATTACACCTTATACATAGAAAAGATTAGATTCTTCAAAACAGTAAATATAAACGTGAGCGTTTATTGCATTATTTTACTCTATCTCTTGTTGAAGCCATACATATTTCTATTCTATTTGTATCACCAAAACAATGTGATTCGCTTTATTTTTCATATTTACGAACCTAGTAAAGTCGTTCTTGTCTACCAGAATATGTACAGGGTGTTTGTTTTTTGCCCGCTAGCCCCCTATTGGCATATCACATCAGGTGGATTGATATTATGTAGTTCATTTAAACTAGGTCAATTTCAGAGGTCATTGACAGTATTGACACAGATTCACAAACTAAACACAGTGCTGTAAAAAAGAGTAACGAGCTTTTTATTAAAGACATGCAACCGAGTGTGGGGATCACGTACCCTTAAAGAACTGACTGACTTGGCAAGCAGGTGGTCAAGAATATCTGGATTGACACCTCTTATGATGCAACGTATTCTATTTGCAAATAGAATTAGGTTTTGCTTTTATAAACAGTGTTTTCGCCTAATCCCATAATATTGTCTGATGGGATTAAAATCCGGTGATCTAGCTAATCACCTATTGCCCATTTTCTGCTTACGTTTAAAAAAATGCCATTTAAATATTCGGTAACATTAACAGAGTAATGTAGGAACTCCTTTATATGAAACCACATCATAAATTAGTATGATACATTAAGTTAGGTTCGTTGAATAGACAGACGAGAAGACTTTGTAAAAGTATGTCAAAAAATTACTTAAAAAAAATCTACTTCGTCAAAAAACTGGCGTAAGTTCTTTACAGGTCATGTAATGAAAGGATGCACTTTGGCACACCCTTTTGAAAGTTATGAGCAGAAATATCGTTCGTTAAACTCCTACATCTATCTTGAACTATTCTTAACTAATCGATTAATAGTTACAGTACCAAGGAACTAAATTTTGCTCAGTAGATACATACGCTCTTGTATTAATAATTAAAATTTAATATTTAAGTTGGCACTCATATTTTGAATCACTGGATATCTCTGAATTATTTTTAGAAAATATGATATCGAAAGAAGTGTATGTCTGATATTTCAGATAATTGTTCGTATGGTGCAACGCCATGGAAGATTAATTATATACAAAAATGTATTTTTTGCTTTAGCTACAGTTACCTAGAGTGGAATAGAAGGTCTAAGTGATAAAATGGTATCTGATATTAATCGTTAATAACGGTGCATTTTGCGAATTTTAAAGCTAGTATAAATTTTCATAACAAAAAAATATAAAATCTGAGTTGGCGTTCTGTTTTCGGGTTAGTTTCGAAAATCTAATTGTAACAGACACTAATATAAGCGTTCGCGTAATGGAAAGTTTTGGCAAAACCACGGGTCATTACATATATTTATTAAATAAATAAAATAAAATTTTTGTTCGGTAGTTCAAAACTTTCGTATTTTTAAATGTTTCTTGTTTAGTGGAAAACGCGTTCCCAACACTTCACACAATCACACTAATTTTCACCCACTTTGATGTTGGCCGACTAAAACACTAACACCACCAAGAAAACTTAATCAAATACATCTTTTAATTCAAATTAAAATTCTGCTGTCTAGAAATTTAAGTAGCAAAATAGTTAGTGTTTCAGTCACCCCTATAATGACCTAAAATAGTTGAAATGCACTTTATTATAGAAATATAGTAATGCCAACTATATAGATAAAATTTATTATTATTAAATAAGTGCATTACACACTACTTGTTTGTTTATTGCGGCCGTGCAGATAATAAACTAAGTGTGTTTTAGGGGAGAGAAGGAGGGTTGATACGAAAAGCTATTTCCAAAATTAGTACGGAATATAGATTACAATTTGCTTGGCCTCAAGGACATGCCTCTAGGCGCGATGCTGTAGATTCTGCCCCTCGCAAATCGCAGTCCATGGGAGCCTTAAAGGCTAACGCTATGGTGCATAAGAAAAGGACTGATACGGAAAATAAGGATGGTAATTGCAACTTACTTAGTACAGGGTGGGATAGCGACGTCTCAGGCCCGATTACTCTCGCCAAGACTAACGAAACAACAATAGTAACATTTTTTCTAAAATCTTCCTTCCCTCAGAGATTAGAAATGAAACAGCTAAAAAATGAAATGAATCCTAATATTCTATTAGCCAATATTTACTTAATGTCATTAAGTTTATTAAAGGCCTACCAAGGACACTAAATTTCAGAACTGAACCATTCCTTCTAGATTCTGCGATCTGCTTGAGCCTGATATTAGTCATCTTCTATTCCTTGAATAAACATCAAATGCTCGACTCTGTCAATGTTGTTAATGAACTCATCTCCGCAAAATAACAAAAATTTCAGCTTGGGATACAGTATACTTCGTTAATTATGCCACATAGGTTGCAAAGAACCCCGCACAAAATCAATTCAAGTTTCAAGTTGATGGATTCAAAAACTGAGGTATGTAATAAATTTTGACCAGTAAGTACAATGCTTTTGGGATCAATGAACTTGAATTCAGGGATAGCTTAGCAATCTAAGGTCACCTGGAGGTCAGGTAAAGGTTGTTTCAAGGTCAAACTGAAGAAAATACTTGTATTGAATTTTGACCAGGGTTGTTGGGCTCGCAGAATCTGAATCTGGAGATAGCGTAACCCTAAAGGTCACCTTCAAGTCAATCCAAGGTTATTTCAAGATCAAACTAAAGAAAAGGCTTGTATTGAATTTCAACCAGTGCGTATAATTTTTTTTTGGGGGGGGAAACTGAATTCGCGGATAGCTACAGAGTCATATTTAGGTAAAGTCAAGATCATTTCAAGGTCAAAGTAAAGAAAAGACTTTCACGAATGTTAACCTGTAAGTACGCTTTTGACGTCGCTGAACCTGAATTCAGGGATAGCTTAGCCCTATAAGGTCACCTGGAAATCAAGTCAAGGTCGTTTCATTTGACTTAATCTCAATTCAAGCCCAGCAGGTGACCTTATAGGGTTAAGCTATCCCCAAATTCAGGTTCTGCGACCTCAAAAGCATACATACTTACAGGTTAACATTCGTGAGAGGCGTTTTCTTTACTTTGACCTTGAAATGATCTTGACTTGACCTAAATGTGACCTTGTAGGGCTAAGCTATCCCCGAATTCAGGTTCAACGATCCCAAAAGCATTGTACCTACTGGTAAAAATTCATTACATGCCCCAGTTTTTGAATCCATCAACTTGAAACTTCGTGAAGCTTTCTCAGGCCTACACTCAAAATCACATACTTCCCCCCTCTTTATCTCTTAAACTATTCATAGGATCACTTTGGGACCATGACAACTTTTGATCAGAAAGTCAAAAACTGTAACATATTGTAATTTCAGCAAAATCGACTGGGACCCATTTTCCATTGATTTTGTGGGGGTTATTTGTAAACATACAGTATTTTTCCGGTGCATTGTCATAGATTGTAGATTAAATTAAATCGTTTTGCTCTAATTTCTCAATAATTAGAGGCACTATAATTCAAATCTCTAGGAATCGTTCTAGGAAAAAATGTCTCTCTTGCCGTTTTGGTTTGTATTGATGAAAGAAATCAGTCCACAACGTCGCCGTTATACCCCGAACAATAAATAGACAGTGCGTCGTAGAGTTGAATTAGTGTCTAAAAAATGATTTCCTATCTTTGCGTCTTTCGTGCCAACTATTTCTGATTTGTAGCCAGTGAATTGGAACCATTAGTAGACGATAGGATTCATCAGGAAAGGATAAAGGAGGATTTCAATAGTGAGTATAAGAAGAAGTTTAGGCCATTTTCTCAATATGAGTACACAGGTGGAGGGTTTCATTCTAAAGAAGTCGACGGTGACGCCACGGATATCCATAAACAATATCCTGATATCGATAAAAATTCGTCTTGGTATAGGGAAGTGGTTGAACTTCGTAAGAAAGCTGGAGAATATAAGGTATAATCTCCTTCAGAGAAGATTCAAGTGTCAAATTGAAAATTTTTTAGCATCGCGGTTGGGGTAGTGAATTGGCACCTGAAAGACTCTCAGATATTTACAACAAGCAAGTTGAGCTATGGGATCAGGTTTCAAGGAGGAGTTCGCTGTCTGCTTTATCCCTTGCTTCTATGACACACAAGTCATACACTAAGGAAGAAAAGGAAGATGACAATAATAGGAAAAGTTCCCCCACCAAAGCTTATAGAAATGCTGAAAACTCAGCTAGGATGATACGGGATATAATTCGGCATCATCTAGAAAGAACTACAGGTGGTTCAGGTAGTATACAGCATAAAACAGTTGGAAAGTCAGTTAAAGGTGTATTTTATAGAATTCGATGGGTTAATTTTATCACCAACGAGAGAAAAGCTGGAACCAACCATTCCAAGGAAGGATGATGATTCAAGAGGATCGCAGAAGAATAGTCCCAAGAAAAGTTCTCCAATGAAATCATCCTCTTTAAAGAGGACCAACCAAAAGGCTAAACAAGGTGGGCCAAAAAAACGTAAGTGGCAAAACTTGGCACCTGCGAAAAACATCAAAACCATTTGTTAACATACAAATTGTAGTGATGTTAATTATAATAATTACTATTCTTTATAGTTCGTTCACAATCTGTAGGACCTACATCTGATGCAGTAGCAGAAAAAAAATCACCCAAACGTCAGTCCAGATCATCTTCCACAAAAGATGGAAGGAAGTCTTCGTCAGAAACACCATCAAACAAAAGACCAAGACCTTGTAAGATTTTCAGCACATAAGCACAGTTTAAATTCAAAGGAACAATGAATGTTTGTTTTAGTTATTAAACACTAGAACGTTGGTAGGATTTATATTAGTAGACAAAACAAACACTCAGTGTTATTTGGCCCTTTTAAGCTGTGCGAATTTTACACCAGTGTGTGCCAAGACTCGTGATGTCTGCTTTTGGCTATTTCACATATCATTTTTTGCTTTCCTTGTCATATATTCAACACCTAAATGCCTTTGTACAGTAGTTCCGTGAATGAGTGTGCTTACCTGAGGTAAGTCAAACAATTTAGCAAGTATGCAGTAAATAATACAATATTCATACTTACAAATTGTGTAGCACTGTGTAGACTGTAAAACTTTTTAGTTAAATTGTTTGACTTATTGCTTTTCAAGTAGTTAAAAAGTATCCACTGAGAAGAATGGGCGCATGTCTGTGTGAAGCCGTTTTGTAACAAATGTTCCGGTGTTTTAGCATCCCTCAACACCACTGTCTCATCCCGATCTAAATCCAGTTCGGTTGTAACAAAAAATGAAGACGATCGATTGGCCAAACCATTGCAAAACCAAAACAAATCACAAAGTATAGATACATCTAAGCAAAATCAAAAAGTAGCCACTAAACATAGAAAAGGAAGTAAAGAAGGTAAGAAATCTCGTTTGGCACGACCCTTGGCACACGCAGTATATCTGTTTTACAAAATATCACATAGATGTTAGGATAAACGTCTTTGAATTATCAGTGTTGCAGATGTATGCGAATTTAAATAAAATGTATTACGTTTATTGAGGTTCAGTACAATAGAATTTTCTTTTTAATCCGATATACTTTGAGTATTGTAGAATTTCTTCCTCTTACCTTAAATATTTTCTCACTCACTATAATCAAAAGCTTTTATCACTATTGCCTATTATTTTGTGTATACTTAGTTTATTTTTACTAAACATGGTAAATGTTTCTTTTTATTTATTGCTTTTGCTTTAATTAGTGAAAATACAGATTTATCCAGTCCAAAATGAGCTTTAAGATCTTCAATTATCCAAACTTGAACCAAAATTTTTCCTAGCTGAGCAACAGAAAACAGAAACCATCGTAACGGAACCAAAAGAAACCACTACGAACGAACAAGAGCACGATAGCTTAACTTACGAACCAGTGATTAAATCTCCACCAGAACCAACTAGAGTCAAATCTCCAGAGCAAATTTTGATGCGCTCTCCTGATCCAGTCAACTGGACGGTGCCTTTGGATACTGGGAAGACTTTTACTGTTACCCAGAATGTTAGAGAAGGTAATTAGAGGAATAATTGCTTCACACGCTCGTTGGGATAAGTAGTCTAAAGTTAGGGTGCTTCTAGGCGATATTGGCAGCAGACCCCATAGCGAGGTAAAGGCTTGGACCCCCCCAGAAATCCCACCCCCTGTGGCGCAATCTGCCCCGCCTACTTTGACTGAACAAAACAAAGATAAAGAACAAGCAGGCACGTCTTAAGGACCCGATTTGTGCTTATTGTATTCGATTTGGTTATATTGCTTTAGGTATGGACTTATCAATGGAAGCATGAACTCGGGCCAAGGCAGAGCCATCGCTGCACGGGTAAGATTTCGATCAAGTCAACTTTTTACTGTACTTTTTGTTCAATTTTTAAAAATGGTGCATTTTCTCCTGGGCAAAAACTAGGCGCAACTTCGCTAGAAGGCAAGGGTTTCTTCTTTTTTGTTGATGTAGTTAAATTCTCATTTTAGATAAATCTTCTTATAATTTATACATGGTGTAACTTTGAATCAGGGTCAATATTTTTAGGGAATCTCTACCTTTGACCTTTAGATAGACAAACGAATTCTGATTTTTTTTTAACAATTTTTCGTAGTTTTCATATCCCGCCACTGATCAGGCTAAGGGCTTGTAATATTGAGAATAGATGAAGCATGTTCATTAATTGACTAAAAAGAAAAAAGAAAGCGCCGCTGGCAAAAATTTTCAAATTTTCAAGGTTAAACGACTTTAAATGAATCTGGAAATTTTTAGTTGCATTTACTATATTACCGAAAAACTGACGTTCGTGAGAAGGATTTTCATTTAGATTTTATAAAAAATAGAAATATTAGTTCGGCTCGTGGACTGTGGACTACGAACATTAACGCACACCGTACATGTACATATGTTCCAAAGAAGCTTTGTGGTTACGACAACCTTGCGTGACGTTCCCAAAATTGTTAAATCCAGTATTATTCCACACGCCCGACTTTACACCCACAATTAAACACGGCATACAGAAAAGTTTTTTTAATTGAGCACACTCCGAATACCATTAATTCCGAAACTTTCGAACGTACACGTTGTCTTTTGACTTCCCCTTTTTTCCATATCGAGAGAATAAGGCACAGGTCTCTCGCAATTTAAAAAATCCTTTTTGTCCTCCTAAGACCTCTTTTATGCACGCGTTTTTCTCCTCTCATCGCGAAATTGAGAAAAACGCGGCATATGTCTGCTCCATTTTATGCACGCGTATTCTATCAGTTGTCGCCAGTTTCATGCCACACAGTAGTCAGTGAAGTACATGAAAATGGATCCGTGTATATTGTATTTGTGCTATAAAAAAATATGTAATAGAAAACGTAAGAGGCGATGGGCAGTACATCCAATTAATAGAAATAGAATTCAATTGCGTCCATTGCATCCATGTCCCGCTTGATCAATAGCTAAACTAAAACTAAAACAAACTGTGCTAAAACTATTCTTGACAGACAGAGCCACTGGACTTGCGACAAAGAGCGCTTTGCATAAAAACGCCGATATACTTTCGTGCTTTTTCGGAACGCGTGTCGCCAAGCGTTCTGTAAAGCCATCGCGACAGAATTGAAAACGCGAGAGCAAATAAACGAGCGTAAAATGCATAAACGTAGTAACTCTATTCAGGGTATCTTGAAACGCGGCGTTTTTGTCAACTCCGCGTTGAGAGGAGAAAAACGCGTGCATAAAAGAGGTCTAA